CGCAGTGGAGGCTGAGCCGGGCCGCGCCTCTGGGAGCCCGCGATCCCCTGAGCCCGGGGCTGCGGAGGGCCTGCGGCGGCCTGCTCTACGAGGACCCGGTCGCGCGTGCTGTGCACGGTCTGTACCCATCGCACTCCCCGAGCCGCTGCTCAGCGCGCCCTGCACACGCCTTCATTCAGTCACTCCGTTAGATCATTCATTCGTTGCCACTTTCTAGCTACGTGGCCTCGTGCATGCCTCTTGACCTTGTTGGGCTTCAGTTTCCTTATTTTAGTAAAAGTGGAATTCTCTCCTAGTGGTGGTGGTGTAAAGGCTTAGAAGAGGTTGTATTAAGATGTCTGGCACACAGTAGGTGTTCTGGCTGCCTTGAGCAGTACTAGTTGCATTAGGGAGCTGAAGAAGGGCTCCTGAGTCTGTCCCCGCATCTCAGTGCAGCCACTGAGGGCAAATTCCAGACAAATGTATCTCAATCCCTGTTAGGGCACCACGTGTAGGTGAGGAAGGGGTGATTTCTCCATCACTGTAGTGGGCCAGGAATGAGGGTGCTTGCGGTTGCTAAGTGGCCTCAGTGGGTACCTCAACCTCTTTGGCAAACCTCCCTCACTAAGACAGGCCTGAACATGTGAAGCTTGGGAGGTGGGATGGGATGGAGCGTTCCCAGCCAGGAATGGTATGTTGCAGAGAGAGGGGCTGGAGGGGTGGATGGGCTGTCTCCATTTGCCCTGACTCCCTGGGCCATCTAATTTTGGATGTGAAGCCCCTCGATGCTGCTATCTTCTCTAAAGAAACCTGGTCCCTCACAGTTCCTGGGCTGCCCAAGGACTAGGGGGCAGGTGTGTGCAGTGGAGGAGGGGGGAGGCAGGTGGTCATGCCAAAGGTCAGAGCAAGTTCATGGGGCAAAACCACCCAGGCCACTGGCTCAGATCCCAAAGGTCAGGGCTGCCTGAGTCAGAGGGCAGAGGAGGCCTGAGGCCATAGGTTCCCAGAGTCAGGAAGCAGCTGGAGCTGAGGAGGGGCTGGACACTGCAGGTAAGAAAAGGAAGAGGAAGTGGAGGTCACCTGGGGGGAGGGGAGCGAGTATCAGTTGAGAGCTGGAGGGTCTTGAGAGTCTGGAGAGATCTGAGGAGCAGAGACTCAGAGAGGGTTGGGGCTTTCCCAGGGTTACACAGCAGGCTGGAATAAAAACTCAGATCTCCTGGCTCCCACACCTTCACATCAGGAAAGTACACCTGTGGGTGACAGCTGGGGGTCATGGCCAAGCCTCAGTTCACAGGCTCTTCGTCCCTACTCTTGCTCCTCACCACTCTGCCCTCCCTCCCCCTCACCGTTCTTTAGCACAACACCCATTCTCCCACCTTTGCACTGCTGGGGGGCAGGGGTGGTGGGAGGAGGGCAGTATTCTCAATTCTTAGGGCCTAGGACTCTCAGGTTGTGTGCTCAGATCACCTGGTGTTCTCTCCAATCTCTCTGAGCCTGAGTCGGACCCACCCAGGCCCGGATGAGCCTGGGGAGACCCTAGGGGCCAGTTAAGATTCTGTGGCCCCACTCTGAGTCTTGCCTTAATTCAGGGACACTTTCACAAAGACAGCACCAACCTTAATCATGCCCATTCCTTTTCCACGTACCTTGCACTACCAAAGAAAGGGGAACTTGGGATACACTTTGTAACTTTCTGAGCTTCAGTTTCCTCCTCTGCAGAATGAGAACCGTGAGACCTGCCTCACAGACGGAGGTGAGTGTTGCACAAAACCGGGTGGGAAATTGCTTGTAAATGATAAAAAGCTCTGTAGGGTGTCAGCTGTGAGCCCCTGAAGGCCCAGACTTTGTCCTTTTCTTCTCTACCCTGAGGGTCATGTATGTGCAGAGCCTGTGAAGAAAAGTGGCTCTGAGGCGTCTGGTCTGTCGGATGAAGGAGGCTGATGGATCCAAGGTGACTGCCTTGGGAGCCCCCGAGGGTTTATTAGGAGGTGGTCTTGGGGAGGAGAAATGGTATCATGGCTGGATGGGATAGTGTTAACAAAAGCAGAGAAGGGAGCAGTCTGTCCTTCTGTGGGCTTCCTGGGTGGGGTTAACGAAGAAAAGTAGCATAGAAAAGCCTGGAAGGGAGGTTTCACACTCCCCCCCCACCCTGCCACACGGAGTCTGCGCTCCTCTACCCCAGACACTGATTACCCCCCCTGGCTCTCTGGGAAGGCGAGGTAAAAGGTCAGCCCCCCCCAACCTCAGCTGGACCTATAGTTATTAATAATGTCGTTCCCTCTCATGAGGCCACACTTGCTATTTACAAATCTCTTTCCTGCCTCCCAGGAGCTTCTTCTCAGCCCAGAGGAGGGAGATGTGGTGCTGGCGGCCACAGTGTAGGCAGAGAACCAGAGAAGCGTGGCACCTTTCCTTGAGACACACAGCAAGGCTCTCTCCCATCCTTCCAGACCCAGCTATACACATTACATCCTCCAGGGAGGCCCTCTGACAGCTGTCGCAACACTCTGCCATGTCTGCTCCCTGCTCCCTTCCCTACTCCCACTCAGCAGAGGAATAGTTCAGTGGGGAGGAAGGGGGGGCCAGGCCAGGAGCTCCTACTTGGAGCATGGCCCTGGGCCAATCACTTAATAGACATCTCACTTAATTCTTACAACAACCATATGAGGCCAGGGTTTGAGAAACAGGCAAACTGAGGTTTGACTTACTGAGCTGTGTTGACCTTAACGCAGCCCCTTAACCTCTGAGTTTGCTCATCAGACAAATGGGCCTAATGAGAACATACCACAGGTCTCATGCAGATCCAGTGAGTTCACAGCTTGCTTTATAGTAAGACCTTAACTGGTGGTAGCTCTAGAGGAAGGGGGTGGTGGGGAGAAGTGGCTCGCCCACACAGCCAAGAAATGGAGGAGCTGGGACTCCCCCCAAAGAACTGTGTGACCCCAAAGTATTCAGAGAGAAGGCTCTGGAGAGTTGGTGGTC